CTGAACTTACATCATTTTATGAATGGCTTACGACACCCGCAATTACCTCTTGGTGCGATGGGTGGTGTCTCTAAGGAAAGTGGGGGGCTTGGCAAATCATTGCCTTCCAAATTGATACAGTCATTAATTTGCATATTAAACGCAAGTACAAGTGCGCCCTGGACTCATTTATCATGAGTCGCTAGAATGTTATCACGCAGGTGCGAAATGCAATTGCAAATGCGCATGATCTGCTAAAGAAACACGAAGATAGACGAGGTCGTCGAGGCAAAATGTCGTTCATTGTACTTAGTACATAATATCTCCTACTAAGTAGTACATGATACTGCATCGTCTAATAGGTTCTTAGTACTACTTAGTACTAAGAAACTTTTAGACGATGCAGTATCATACTTGGGATACTCGAAGCTTTTACTTCGCTTCATCAGTTTGTCCTGAGCAGTATCACGCCATGAGAATGCGCTCACAGATCAACCTGCCAAGGTGACTAAGAGCCCATCCGAAGTCCTACGTAGGGTTCCTTAAGCCCCAATATCGCGACGACGCGATTTCCAGCCTGGATGTATCGCAGTCTTATTCGAAGGTGGCCCTAGAATAACGGTTCCAGCACGAGGGTCGAAATTTGCACTAGTTAGCGTCGTCGGCTGAGCATTGCCCTCGAAATGATGGTGAGATTCGTAAACGCCCGAAACAAGCGAGATCGCACGGCAGGCGCCCTGCATCATCAGCGGAAACAGCCACAGCAGGTCAAAGAGCTTACAGAGCCAGTTCCAATCGGTGAACTCGACCTTTGATTTCATCTTCAGGCGAGAATCCATGACGCCATGCGAAGTCGCAAATTTTGCAATGGACCTGTCGGTTATCCTTTGCGCGTTGCCGTGTCGACGACACGCGATCAGTCACCTCAATCAGCCACTGGTATATCAGCGACAGAAGTTTCTCCACCTTCGTCCAACGCAGTTCCAAGGCGGACGAAGGCTGTGGCCCAGCAACAGGAGAAGCAGAGGGTACACCCACTTCTGGCACCTCCCCCTCTTCTGAAACGACAAGGGAATCGATGCTATCACATTAAAAACGTGGTGGCGGAGAGGAACGTCAGCGGTGAAAAGGAGATCCTTGTAAAATGAATGAGATATATAGCAAGTGAGGGTACGTGGGGGCTACGTACGCGTATTCGTCGCAATTTTCCAGAATCGTTTGCGCGATTGATGCGGGTTCGAAGGCAGACTCCGCTTAGTTAAGCCGACCCTTACTCTTATCCCTAATTTTTCTCGCCGTGAAGTCGATTGATGACCGAGCGCACTTTGCGAGTATCCTCGATATTCGAGTGGACTCGATTCCGCACTGTCGAATGTGCAAATCGAAAGCACAAACTGCGCACATGCAGCAAGTCAGCAGCGGTGCTTGCGCTTCAAGAATTGTGGATGTCCACATATTTGGTCGCGTGGCCCCATGCCCGGGATAATGTGTCGATTGGCTGGATGGAATCCGGATTGAAATCTTGGTAATGAAACATACGTAAGGCTTTGTGGTTTGCATCCAGCACGAGTAATTAGCCCGACGGCGCGGAAATACGCGGCTTGGCGCTAAACTGCCGTAGTACTTTGCTTATAAGAATCGAAGCTATGGTCACCGACCTTGCGTTATATACTAGAACTAGTGTGATTGTAGTAGATCGCAATTCGCTACCTCCAAGAGTACCCGAAACCTTAACCCAAAGCAAATACACTCTTCCGTTCAAAATTGAAACTTTATTTATCTGTTCTATTTGCGGCGGAGCCGCCTATCTAAAACTCTAGGTTTTCCTTAAAAATAGTAAAGCCTAATTAAATCTCATGACTACCGGCGGTCCCGCCACGTAGTGGCTTCTTGTTACGGTGTAGCTACACCATTGTGTGATTACACCGACTTGTGTAATTCACACCTTCGTACGTTATCACCATCTTGTGTGACCCACCCTTTCATACCAGGGTACGTATAACCCCGTTACGATCTCCCTCATCAAAAGTCTGAATATCCAAAATTCACATCCCCCCGTACGAGGCTCGCATGTCTGAGACACCGTTACACTCCTAGGGCCATCTTTACACAATCTCTGCTCAATGAGCCCTGTGTCTACGACACTAAAATATCCAGCCTCGCTGGTTCCAAGGGCGCCCGCGGGCAGAGCCCTTTTACGTCTCCTGCACGCGGTGCAACTCCGGACAGTACGTCCCCGGCTTCACGGGAAGCTCATTCCAAGTCCTCGGCAACCGGGCGCTACACACCTCGCCCGCCACGGACGACGAATTACCTCGTCCAAAATTCGAGCGATTACTGCGATGCTCACCCTTGGCGTAACCGCTGCAGATGATGACGAGCACTTTGAGCGATGGGTGCAGCGGCACCGAGAACTTTCCTCGTTGTCAAACTTAGAGCGGAGCCACAGGGAAGTGGACGTGCGCATAGAATGCCATCATCATTTCAAGTTTGTCAAACTCGCCAACTTCCTACGTATTGTCGCACATCGACTCATTATATTAACTCATCACAGAGCCGCGAGCTCTGTGATTTCTCACACGGGTATTTCTACGACCACAGCCGCTCAGGGCCATAGCTAGAACTCTGCTCATGGTCTTCGGCTCCACGAGCTTCTACCAAGAAGCGCGAGGCGTATGACGACGCGGAGCATCATGATCCTTCTGATCATAAGCGTCCACGACGTCTGGACAGTCTTGCCGAAGGGGTACCTCAAACTCCCAAAAGTTCTCGGAATTTGGGTATCCCCGCCACTTCAGAAGATATTGATATTGGATTTGATCCTGCCGACGACGTCGACTCATAAGGCGTTCTACGTGATAGTGGACGCTAGCATTCTCATCTAGAAGCGTCGGCAGCGGACGATGACGACTTGGTCGATCGCCGTCCAATGTCTCGCTATACGCTTTGAGCTCTAAATGACAAAGTCCGTCGTTATCGGCACTCCGCCGAGTATCTTGCCGAGGTCGCATACCGCTGCGCGGAAGATCTCATAATCATGGGGCACTTTGTGCACCCACTGCCTCAAGTTGAGGACTATCGCGCTCTGTCGGAGCGGCTCCTAGCCGTCGAGCAGACGAATGCAGCACTTCGTGCGAGGATGGAGCGTCTTGCGCC